GACCAGCACGGCGGGCAGCATCCAAACTCCGGTCATCGGAAGAAGGGGGCTGTGCCCACGACAGCTCCTGATCCCACCTGTTTTGTGAGTCTGTAAAGTGCTCCCAGACCGTCGGTTGTTTTAAGTGTATCCCTTACGGACTGACTCGGCTCCCCCGGAGCTTCCTTACAGCAGGGTCCGGCTTTGGTCATGCCCAGACAATGGATTGTGCCTGGAAGTCAATTGTTTCTCATAACATGGAAAGGGAGGGCTCTGGTACCACGGACTGTTATACCGCAGAATGACCACAGGGGGCAGCAAGGGACCAGGACAGCTAGAAGCCCACCGGGCCAGCAGTGGAGAAAGGGACAGCTGTCTACTATTTCTGTTGTCTGTCCCTCTGCTGGGGGAGATGCACTCTTCTGCCAGCTGTGCCCGCTGCAGTGACCACGGAGAGGTGCTTCTCGCCTGGCACCCAGCTGCTGCAGTGAGAGGGGGCTGGGATGGTCCTCTCTTCCCGGGGCAGCCTGCATCCTGCCCCCTCCACCCCAGCCCCACCCCCGAACAATGATTTCAATGAAGAAAAACAAAAGTTATTTGAGTTAAGGCCCAAGCAACACGGGGTAAATCTTCTAGTACAAAATGTAACAATTGTTAGAGCCCCGTGTGGCTACAAAATCAGTCTCGGCCTCTGCCCAAATCAGCCGTGGATACCTGCATCGACAGCCACGGACTGGATCCCCGTGGATATAGAGCAGAGAGCCGCAAACGTGCAGGGTCCAGATATGACGTTTGTGTTCGCATCTGCAAAACCGGGCCGTGGTTCTCCGTAGCCACGGGCGCGGAGGCGGGGACTGGCGGCTGTGCCGATTCGCGGGGCTCTAGCCATGATGTGAACGATCAATCCGGGGTGACCCATGGAGGTGAAAATGAGAGGCAAGGGCTGTGGGTAGACGATGGGCTACTCTGAGCTGGGAGCTGCCACGTTACCAGCGCAGAGCAGCAGAGAAGGGAGTGCTTGTGCTGGTTTGGGTGGCCACCGGGGCACTCCCACGCCAGTACTTCGGGAATGGCGTGACCCCGCCCTGGCCGGCGTGGGCTGGCATCGCATGGCGCCCGTCCCCCCAGTCTCTGGGCGCTGGGCTCCACCAGGGCTGGAGGCAGCTCTACCCTCAGGCCCCGCCCCGGTTGGGCCCCGCCTCTGCCCAG